ACTCCAGGGGAAGGATACTGTAAAATCCCCATTCCTTCCCACTCCAGGGGAAGGATACTGCAAAATCTCCATTCCCTTCCCACTCCAGGGGAAGGATACTGTAAAATCCCCATTCCTTCCCACTCCAGGGGAAGGATACTGCAAAATCTCTATTCCCTCCCCACTCTAGGGGAAGGATACTGCAAAATCTCAATTCCCTCCCACTCCAGGGGATACTGTAAAATCCCCATTCCCTCCCACTCCAGGGGAAGGATACTGTAAAATCCCCATTCCCTTGCACTCCAGGGGAAGGATACTGCAAAATCTCCATTCCCTCCCCACTCCAGGGGAAGGATACTGTAAAATGCCCATTCCGTCTCCACTCCAGGGGATACTGTAAAATCCCCATTCCCTCCCACTCCAGGGAAAGGATACTGTAAAATCCACATTCCCTTCCACTCCAGGGGAAGGTTACTGCAAAATCCACGTTCCCTCTGGATCATCTGGGATTAAGGAGGCAAAGAATAGATGGGGGTGGGACCAGTCAGAGGTGGTATTTATTGGTTCTCCAAACTATTCAAAATTTCCAATACCAGTTCTCCAGAACTGGTCAGAACCTGCTGAATACCACCTCGGTTTCCCTGTTTGGATTGCTGAGAAATCTGTTAATGGGGAAATGGGAAACTGAGTTTTTCCCTGCATTGCAAAAATCAGCATAACCACTGGAAGGCGGTAGAGAGTTAGTTTTTTTCCCTTTACTGCTTTGCCATCTAGTGGCCATCGTGATTTTTGCAGCTCCAATCTAGATTTCCCAACAGCGGAATGAATTATTGAGCATTTTAACTTCTTTGAATTGTTCCAACTGGTTGACAAATTCACAGCAATCCTTCCTATTTTTTCAACCTCTTTTCCACAAAAGAGGCTCTCCTCGGAGTCAAACCTTGGTATTATTTATTTATTGATCTTATTAAATTTATATATATCATCAGACTATTCAAGAGACCCTTGGTGGCTTACAAACAGATAGAGCAGAGGTGATGAAGGATGAACAAGGATAGAACTATTGGCACCCAAAGGGACTTTAAATTGTGGATTTTGTCTCTTGCATCACTGCGATCCTGATATCGGCAAATTTTTTGCCTTCTTTTACAGCATGGATTACAATTGTGGGTCTCTTCTACCATTCCATGCATCAGTATTTCCATAGCATCAAACCAGTGGACACCAAGTAAGTTCCTTTAAAAGCACAAACACGTTTGTGGTTATTCCTGAATAGGAGATTGGATGGGTTTGCTTGGCTTCACACAGTGTTTCTCAGCTTCAACAATTTAAAAATGTGTGAACTCCTAGAATTCCCTGCCAGATGGACGGATGGATGGAGGAAGGAAGGGAGGGAGGGAAGGAGGGAAAGGAGGGAGGGAAGGAGGGAAAGGAAAGAGTGAAAGAAGAGAAGGGAAGGGGAGGAGAGGAAGGGACAAAGGCAGGAAGGGAGGGAGGCAAAGGGAAAGGAATGGAGGGAAAGGAAAGGGTGAAAGAAGAGAACGGGAGGGGAGGAGAGGAGAGGAAGGGACAAAGGAAGGGAGGAAGGAAAAGAGAGAAAGGAAAAGGTGAAAGAAGAGAAGGGGAGGAGAGGAAGGGACAAAGGGAGTAAGGGAGGAAAAGAGAGAAAGGAAAGGGTGAAAGAAGAGAAGGGGNGGAAGGAAAGGAAGGAAAGGAAGGAAAGGAAGGAGGAAGGAAAGGAAGGAAAGGAAGAAAGGAAGGAAGGAAAGGAAAGGAAGGAAGGAAGGAAGAAGGAAGGAAGGAAGGAAGAAGGGAGAAGGAAGGAAAGGAAATAAGGAATGAAGGGAAGGAAGAAAGCAAGGAAGGAAGGAAGAAAGGAAGGAGGGAAAAAGAAGAAGAAAGGAAGAAAGGAAACAAAGGAAGGAAGAAGGAAGGAAGGAGATTATAATGAGAGGGAGGGAGGGTCTGAGAAAAGTCCTGCCTTAGCACTTGGCCACCACAGATGCCCCCGACACAACGTCAAACTAGTCATGCCCACCTCGGCCCCCTGAGGTCAAACACAACCCTCAATGAACTCAAGTTTGACACCCCTGATCTACAGCACCAAGCATCAGCCATGGTTCTTCCAGATCTTTTCCCCTTGTGCTGGAAGGAGATTAAAAGTTCACGCTCGGCAGCGTCGATCAAAACATGAGCCTCTGAACTCTCACTGCTGGAATGAGTATCTCTGCTGGTTGGCACAAAACCTCAGAGAACCGGGAGGGGAAAAAAGCCCCATTTCTCTCTCTCTCTCTTTGGTTCCCTTTTGAAAAATGTTTTACCTGTTGCAAAATCGTGAAGTTCTCTCTTCTTTGCTGCTTATAGCTCTAGCATATTCCTGCCCACCCCCCTGGTTTGCTTCAAAGACTGTGATTTCTCAAAATGTTAAAAGAACAGACCTTGGGGCTCAACAATAAGCAGGAACTGAACAGCCCCTTAGTTTAAGCGGCGGGGTGTGTGTGTGTGTAAAAGGACTAACTGGTGGCTTTGCTCTCCCTTTCCTTTTGGTTTTTTTTTTGATCCATGTTTGCATTATTCTACAGATTATTCCCTGGTTAAAATGCCTCCCCAGCTCCCAGATGTCCCGCAGTATCGTTTCCCATTACAAGGACAAAGTTATATTTCTATACCTGGAGAAGCATTCCAATATTCAGGTAAGGGAATAATTTACTAGGAGAAAAGAAAGGTTGAATCTGCTGCCCTTGGCTTTCTCCCGCCAGCCGAGGTTTTCCACCATATGGCTGGGGATTATGGGAATTAACATAAAGCCCATCTGGTAGGCCGAAGGAGAGGCCAGGAGAAATCGCCCTTTTTCCCCCTGAATTGTCCTTCTTCTGATCATTGGGTCAAATACACGTTTCCCTCAGTGGTGAGATTCAAATTTTTTTTACTACAGGTTCTGTGGGCGTAGCTTGGTGGGCATGACAGGGGAAGGATACTGCAAAATCTCCATTCCCTCTCCACTCCAGGGGAAGGAGCCTGCAAAATCATCATTCCCTCCCCACTCCTGGAGGAAAGATACTGTAAAATCCCTATTCCATCCCCACTCCTGGGGGAAGGATACTGTAAAATCCCTATACCCGCCCACTCCAGGGGAAGGATACTGTAAAATCCCCATTCCCTCCCTCTCCAGGGGAAGGATACTGTAAAATCCCCATTCCCTCCTACTCCAGGGGAAGGATATTGTAAAATCCCCATTCCCA